AAACAAGCATTGATTTCGTTTATCGGTGATATTGTTTGTTGGTGGCTGCAATTTCTGATTATCTGCTTTTTTTGATTGTTCGTCGCCTGTCTAATTTCATCACTTTGAACAAATTTTTTGTGTTTGATAAGATTGACTGTGGGCAAAAAAAATCGGTAAAAAAAATAGTGTTTGATCTGGTCGTGTGTATGTGTGTGTCCGTGTTGTTTGTTTAATTTTCTTCTTGATTTTTTCTTTCTAAAAATCGACTTATTAACGAGTTATTTACGTGATTGATATGGAAGTTTGGCAAGAAGCTGATGTTTTTTCTTGGTGGGTATGACTAGGAAAAGTGAAAAGTTGTTGAAGTTGTATTTAGCTTATATGTCAAGTGTGGCTCTTAAAAACTCTCTGAAGTGTGTTATATCACTGAACCGGATTTGCTGTCTTTCACTGTTTATGCGATACGAACTTTGTGAAATCGGCTGCACATGATGTTCGAGAATCCCTTGCTTTAAATTATTATTGATTTTCCAAATTCACCATAATGCTTTGAGCAGATGTAATAAAACACCACATCGGTGCAAAAACAGAAAATGGTTCATGGTTCAAAGCACTCTTTGCATTACACTGCGTTCCTCCTCTTGCTATTCACACTCCAAGGCTCCCGATCCGTCCGTCAGAGCAAAAATGGGCTGCAAACCGAAGTCTTCCTCTCGCCCAAATTCATGTTACAACCCGGGTCTGTTTCAAACAAATTCTACTACAACATCGATTTCCCCAGAGGCCACATTGCCCTCAAGAGCTTTGATGCCGAGGTAGTTGACGAGAAAGGGAACTCGATTCCACTCCACGAAACCTATCTCCATCACTGGCTAGTCGTAAGGTACATTCAAAGAAAAGGCGCAATCCAAAACCCTGAAAATCCCGATTATGTCATTGTGAAAAATGACGGGCTGTGTAATCATGGGCTCATCCAGTATTTTGGGCTCGGGTCCGAGACGCGAAAAACGGACACTCACGTGCCTGATCCATACGGGATCGAGATGGGAAATCCGGCCTTGGTGCCGGAAGGATATGAGGAGCTGTGGATGCTTAACGTGCATGCAATCGATACGCGGGGCGCGGAGGACGCGCCGGGTTGTACCGAGTGCAGGTGTGACTTGTACAATTTGACGGTGGAAGGGTATGGGGGTCACCCATATAAAGGTGGCTTGAGATGCTGTGGTGATGGAAAAAGGTGTAGAGTGAAGGAAGGGTTTGAGGATGTCCAGAGGAGTCTGTATCTGAGGTATAAGGTGACGTATGTCGACTGGGATGCCTCGATTTTGCCGGTTAAAATCTATATAATTGATGTGACTGATCTGTGGACAAGGGAGGATGGTGACCACAGAGAAAAACACCGTTGCCTGGTATTTTTTTATTTCTATTTTTTTTCATATTTCCTTTTCTAGTTTTAAACCGATTATTTTCTCTGCTACATTAACAAAAGTTGTTTAAGGGAAAATACTCGTATAATTGAAAGTGTTGGTATTCCCTATATAATCCTAGTTAATGTTAGTTTGAAAACAATACAAAGTCGTAAATACATTTATTAGGTGAATTATTAGGTTTCCATATCGGAACTTTCTGTAAACTGGAGGGAGAAAGACATTTATGGATGTAGAAAGAGTAAGACCAAAGAGTGAAAAGTTATAATTAGCTATTTTCTCTGTGTTGTTTACTCTCTTTCGTCCTGTAACTCTTTTGAGGTCCTCTAATGTAGATTGAGTACGACGTCGAGTCTTGTCCTGTTGGTGTGGCCAATGATAGATGCACACATACCACCACCGTAAAGGTCAGTTTGCCAACTGGTGGAGATGTTATTTACGGGGTTGGGCACCAGCATAAAGGCGGGATTGGCTCAACTCTTTACGGCGAGGTATCAAAGACATTTTATCCCGTTTTTCTTCTCTTTTCATGAAATTCACGAGCATGAACCGGCTATGTCACATCACCCACCAAATAGGGTTCTGTTTTCTTGCATATGTCTGTCTTCACTTTCTCAAAGTTAAAAACTTTTGTTCAGTGAATAAATGTCAGGTTGCATTGAGGTGCCGACACATCTTGTGTGTGCGTGTACGTGTTTTGAGCATTATAGATACGTATTTTGTGCAACGACACTGCAAAGAGCTCGTTGTGAGAGTTGTTATATCCTGTATTAGTAAGTGAGGCATATCATAATTCTCCACATAATGCACTGTTGTTTGTTTGGGGTGAACTATTTTCATTTGTGGTGATACTAATGAGACAACGAGCAAGCGAGGAGTTATTTGTGCGTGCCTGTTGATTTTCAGTTTTCCTTTTTGATTTTCTGTCTGGTTGTCTTATTCAAAAAGGATTCGTATATCTAAGTTCTGGACAATATTCTTGTTTACTTTGAGACCTTTTACCTAAACAAAATTTCTGAGGCTCATCATCTTCATCGTCCGGCACTTGTTTGATGAAGTTGAACTGATCCAGGGAGGAAGAGAAATATGCTCGTCTGTTCCAACTTACGGGACGGGAGACGGACCTGGTAACGAGGACGGCTACATTGTGGGCATGTCCACCTGTTATCCTAAGCCCGGCTCGGTCAAGATTTCTGCTGGGGAGTTTTTGACGCTCGTGTCTAATTACAGTAGTAAAGAGGCCCATACGGGAGTTATGGGTCTCTTTTACCTCTTGATTCACGAACCCTCGGCCGAACCAAATGCAGTCTTACATTCTCCAGCTAAAGTAAGACTCCTCTGCTATTGGTTTTTTGAGATAATATTTTCTTATTTTCTGCATTATGAGAGACAGCAGTTGTCGTGAGCTGACTCGGGCCATTCTCCACAATCTGTTGTCCTCTGCAGGCACAAGATAATATCGGTTATGGTATTGCTCGGTTCGTAATTGTGTGGTTCTTCATTTGTGTGCTCCTCCGTAAGAGTGGAAGAGGAGAAGGATACTAAAGCTATAACCGAATGAAGATGTCTTTTGCTTGTCTGAACTTGGCTCATGAACTCTTTAGTTTATTGAATAATGTATGCAGTGTTATCTGCATTCGAATTATGTTACCGTTTTATAATCACTTCGCTTGCTAAATTTGAGTTTTGCTTTCTCTTAAATCTTTGAATTTTAAACTATTACATACCGTTTATGTGGTATACACACATTGGTGATTTATTTTTTGGAACATATTAACATCACCAATGTGTGCATGCCACATAAGCGGTGGGCATATTAACATGTGTCCACCGTGGGTAGGCGAGCATTATTGCTAATACATATATGGTGAGATGATCAGGGAAGCATTAGTAAGGTTTTTGAAAAGTTTAGTAAGGTTTATTTATAAATTAATCTTAGATATATATAATTATTAGCAGAGCAATTAATAAAAGTATTTTAGTTTTCCTCAAAAGAGGTTACAATTTATATCATTATTAATTTTTATTTATATTATTTTTTTTTTTCATTTTATTATAACCTAATATTTTTTATTTATATATCACATAATATTTACTACTAATATTAATTAATTAAAAATTCACACTAAAAGTTTATGCAAATTATATACTTATAAAAAAAATTATAGCAAATTCTTTTCTTCAATTTCTTTTTTTAATTTAATAATTATAGCTTATTGGGTTGATGGAATAGCAAACTCCTTAAAACTGAATAAATGATGATGATAATAATAATAATAATAATAATAATAATAATAATAATAATAATAATAATAATAATAATAATAATAATAATAATAATAATAATAATAATAATAATAATAATAATAATTTAGTTTTTTTTTTCAATCAAGTAATGGGTTGGGATGTCTTAATTGTGTAAGTACATTATTCATTATATTTTGTGTCATTTTTATGGTGATTCATATATAAGTAAAATAGTTTTGTCATTAGTTCATTTTTATTAATGATCAAATTTATAAAATATGATATGTATATATAATTTATTATTATTTTATAATATTTTATGTGTCTGTACATGCACACAGGCTATTACTAACGTGTAAATAATGCGAATAACAATTTATAATCAGGAATACATTAGTCAGTTGTATTTATCAATAATGCGAATGTAATGGAGAAATTAATGATTATTTTAATTTAAATATAAGAATAATAATTATTATAATGTGATATAAAAATATAAATGATTCATAAATATAAAATATGTGAGTGAATTAAATATTATATTTTATAGATTATTTATTATAATGAACATGACGATCCAACCTATTTAATGGTTTGATTGAATCACACAAAAATTTGTGTTGATAGAAAAATATGCAACAATATTTTTATTTTTAATTTAAAAATTATACTTCAAAAATTGTATTGAAAGATGCGAGTAAAATATAGTAAAAATGTTGACGTTTTGATGAATAATATAATTTTTTTTTTCATTTGTTGTGATAATGATTCAAAATATAAATTTATTTAAGTATATGGTATTCTTTAATATTAATTAATTAATTTTATGCTAAAATTTATTTTCAAGAAAGACTTTGAAATTATGCGAAAACAAGGGAAAATCTGGCATTTGCAGCAGCTTTTCATAATCACAAATTTGGGCTTATTTGGGAAAAATGGAGAAAGTGGAGGATCATATGTTCGTAAGGAACTAATTTGAACTTTGCTAGTAAAAAATAAATGTTGAAACTATGATGCGAAGATTGGTGATGCGAGCATGAGAAACGAGAAAAATGGGTAAGGTGTGTAGTGGCATTTGCAGCAGCCCATTCTTCTGGGATTCAAATTTTTTCTTAGTTTCTATGACTGGGAAAAAATAAATTTTCATTTCGCTTCTATTCAATGAACTATTGGATGGAAATTTTTCGTGAAGGAAGACTCACAAGGCAATGATTTTCTTGATAAAGAATTTTAATAAAACAAGTATTTGTAATATTATGATTTTTGATACAAAAGATCGTCTATAAGACGCAACTGCAGAGCATACTTTCGTCGTATTATAAATCGAGCTCTAGAGGGCAGATACTCGTGCTGATAACGTGTTATAAAACTAGAGGGAAAAGAGAGTGAATAGAGAAAATATTTCTCTTAGGTATGATTTTCATTATAACTGAAGCTCCTATTTGTAGGAAACTTCTGATGGCACAACCGTAATAATATAATTAAATCAGGGATAAAACAGTCATTCACATACATTATTTTATAAATATTTCACAACACTTACAATGATTTTTCCTTCATTTTTTGTGTAATAGGAAATAAATAAGTCATTTTGAAATATAATTTATTAACTTAAAAAAGCTTAAATGTCATTATTTTTGTTCATGTTATTTTATAAAGATTTCCTTATAGATTATCTTTTTATATATAAATGTGGAGTTTTTCATTGTCAATTTCCAACGCTTTGTAATTATATATGTTAATTTCAAAGGATTCGAAATAATCCATATAAATATAGATTTTTATCCAGAACTTTCAAGTTTAAACGCTTGAATAACATAAATTGTAAATATAATTGTATATATTATCATTTTTTTTATATATATGATAACTTAAATTTTGACAAAGTATAATTTGACATTCATATTGTATATGTAAATTAAAATAATTATATCTAACTGATCTCTATCAATAAATATTTAAATATGTATAAATTATAATTGAAAAACACTAAATTTATCTATCAATCTTATTATGTGGTATAAGTACCAAAAATGTTCTAATATAATATCGTCGAATCCGACTGGTGAGGTGTATCATTTTAAATTAAAACAATTATGTTATTTTTGTAGAACTATTTAAAATTTTAAAATAAAATCTTGTATTAATATTTTTACATATATTAAATATCAATTTTTATTAACTCATATTAACTATGTGCAGTTAGCACAAAAAGTTGAGCCTAGACAATTGCCTAGGCTCGTGTAGATCCGCCCATATATGGTGAGATGATCAGGGAAGCATTAGTAAGGTTTTTGTAAAGTTTAGTAAGGTTTATTTATAAACTAGTGTGTATCCCGTGCGATGCACGGATATATAAATTTGGAGAATATTATAATTTGACATGCATTAGGATATATGAGAGTTTAATACATACGAACATTATTCATCATAAAATGTTCGTCACTAAAAAATCTTATATTATTAAAAATCTCTTTGTATACAACATATGAGTTTGATTATTGTTTAACTCGTTGTGAGGAGCACAGACCGACTCCGGCCGGACGCGGTTTGCACAAAGGGTTGCGAAAATTGGGCCTCACTCAACTGTGCTCCCTTGTTGGGCTTCTATCTTGGGCTACAGATGCTGATTGTTGTCGCCAAAAAAATTCCTCCAACGCTTGGACAATTTTTCTAATTTCTAACTATATTATAAATTATATTTTATTCTAAGTTTAACTTTTACATTCTTATTTTATGAAGATAGTTATTGTACATTCCTATCTATACTAATAAAGTATATTTTAGTTTGAATCATGTAACTTCCTTAGTAATGAGTTGAATAATTTATAGATAGAAACATAATTTAATGATTCCCTCTAATTTCTCTCCCTCTCCCTTTTTCATATTTCATAGTATTTCACAATTTTCTCAAAATAAAACAAAAAATTACATACAACAATTATTAGGTTGACCATCAAATAAATCAAAATAAGACTGTAAATAAATGTAAAATTTTCCTTAATAAGTTCTATATTGTTTTGAAAATAATAATTACAATTTCAGGTTCGACACAAAATTGGTTTGTTTGTTTTTTATTAATTGTTTATGAATAGGCTATCTATCTTAATTTTTGTTCAAAGTTGGTTTATTTTTTATTTTTATCATCAGATATATCATGTTAGTCATCATTGGACATAAGCTCATAGGATTTGATGATAAATATGTATTTAGATTTTAACTTGTGCAATATAAATGTAAAAAATACAGAGAATATAATAACGCTAAATTTAATTTATTGGACATGTGCACAACAATGAGAAAAATGTGATTTTCTAAATTAAATTTTCAGGATAAATGCATTGCCAAATCATAAATTTCTGCAAGCGAGGAGCTTGCTCTAATATATTATTTGGGATTTCAGTGCCGATGGCAGTTTTTACGGTAATGCAAGCAGAATTTGGGTAAAGCCGAATGGAAAACGTTTTTGCAAATTTGTAGATGAGAATGAATTTAGAAGAACCGTATTTATAAGAATATGTACATTATTAAAATCTGAAAACAATAAAGAGTCCCAAGAGTTGGAAACTGTGTAATTAATATTTAATTAAATATATAAATTATCGATCTACATATCATAATTGGATTTGTTTCCAACCACTACATCTTATAATAACTGGTATGTAGATATTTTCATAATTTAAAAAAAAAAAAAA